CTCAGACTTTGTTTATCAGCACGAGCTCGTTTTGCTACTTTCATACAAAATCAACTCAAAATATACAAGAATTACTGTTACTGGACGAACCATTCTCAGGAAATTTGAAGAAATGAAGCAGCTACATTGTGAACAAAAGCGTACCGGGGTTAGTTTTAAAATACCTTGAGGCTACTTTTATAATTTATATATGAATTATAAAAGAACAGTTTTAAATGTCAATTTTGTTAAGAGCATCCCCTCGACTTGTCGAGAAGTTTTATATGTTTTAAAGTAGGAAGACAAGTGACAATCAAATATTTTTTAATCTAAGTTAACAATGACTCAATACGATGTTATTGATGGGTTGTTATTGATGTTCTTTAATTCATATATAAATTATAAAAGTAGCCTCAAGGTATTTTAAAACTAACCTCAGTACCCTTTCGTTCACAATGTAGCTGCTTCATTTCTTCAACTTTCCTGAGAATAGTTCGTCCAGTAACAGTAATTCTTGTATATTTTGAGTTGATTTTGTATGAAAGTAGCAAAACGAGTTCGTGTTGATAAGCAAAGTCTGAGGCTCTGCTGGCTCTCCACTCCTTCAAAGTTGTAAATCCCGTTTCGCGGTGTTATAAAGCCATAATACTCCAAAGTCTTTTGCTCAAAATTCTTCTTGTATGCTTCTATCTTTGTGATTGTAAAACTGGCACGGTCAGAAACGTAGTGAAGGCAAAAAACGCGAAAAACTACCATATTGTAATACAAATCTATACCAAAGTGGGTGCAGGGGAAAATCCTTGCAAGTGGAAGCACTGAACACTTTATAACTAATAGAGCTATGAAGTATTGTAGTTTATTTGAGATTGTTACCGCTGACCAATAATGAATTTGAATTTGGAGTGAGAAATTTGAATTTGGAGTGAGAAATTTGAATTTGGAGTGAGAAATTTGAATTTGGAGTGAGAAATTTGAATTTGGAGTGAGAAATTTGAATTTGGAGTGATGAATTTGAATTTGGAGTGATGAATTTGAATTTGAAGTAAGGAATTTGAATTTGATATCTGATTTATTATTGACGTTGCCCTTGTGGGCCACCGTAATTTTCGGTAAGCAAATTGTAAATTACGATATACTAAAACGCTGTAATAAAAAGGCTTCCCACAGCACTGCCTACTTCTGTAATATGTCTGCGTAAAATATGCGTTTTTTTGTTTGTAAGTTGCGTCTTCATTTCCCGGATAGCAAACACCTTCGTGGCTTCGTATGCCATGAAATATTCGGAATCTTTTTTCGTCATTCGGAAATTTTTGGTCTTCACTCCTCCTCCCCCCCCCCGCCCCAAACTACACCTGCTAGATACGGCCCTGAGTCTGTATGTGTGTTCTTCAAGCGGAGTTATCTGACATTAAAAGCTTAATTTTCTATAAAAAATACTTACATTAGGTTCACCTGACGAATTTTTGTTAGTCTAGTCTGGGGGGAGGGGCAGGAATTACAGTAAATCCTTTTAGAATACGTTTACACAGTCATCGTGTACATGATTGTGACTGGTTAAAGCCCAGGTCACACTACACAACGATAACGATACGATAACTTGTATACGCGCGCTGATTGGTCAAAAATTTATCGTTATCGTACGACTGAAAAAAAATCGCTCAGGTGAGCGATTTTAAAATCGTTATCGTTATCGTCTAACGATAATTTTACCATTTTCGTTGTTGTGTGGACACTAACACAATTTTTTTTGACAATTATTGCGTGTTTACAATTTATCGTATCGTTATCGTTGTGTAGTATGACCGGGCCTTAATTGCCGGGAAGTCAAATGTATAGCGAATGTGAACAGACGTTAGGTGGGGGGCCTCGGCCACTAACAACGTCTGCGCAGGAGGCTAGATTAGGGCAAGACAAACTAAATACTGGTTTATAAGGGATGACCCTTACTACAGTAGACCTTCATGGAAAGATGGTTTAATTTTCTGTAGCTAGCTAATTAAATCTCTAAAAATACTTACATTAGGTTCACCTGACGAATCTTTGTTAGTCTAAGGGGATAAAAGTAAGGTCTTAGCTAGGATTTTAGATCTTGGGCGTGTTTCTAAATGACCAAGGTATGCACATGTCAATAACCGGTACCTTGAATAGCCAAGTCACGGTTATAGTTATGCCTAGCCAACAGACAATGCCTGTGGTTGTTCTATGCTTTGGAACCAAATACAAGGCGAGCATACGCTCATATTTCGCACTGACATTCAAGAATTAAGTTCTTTCAATCAGCAACTCTTGGGGGTATTTAAAACCATTTTACAGTAACACCATATCCATCCAAACATTAAAACATCACGGATAAGTTTTGCCAATTTCAACAACTACAGTAGATTTTACAAACTTTTTTACGACATAAATATAGGAAGAAATTATGTCCGTAACACCTCATTTTTTGAACCTACCCGGCCTTATACAAATAATGAAGCCGCGTTCATTATATCTAGCCGCGTTTTTCCATTTTTGCCGTGATAACACGGCCAACATGGCCCTCTAGCTAAGACCCTGGATAAAATGAAATTACATCTTAATCTTTGCATGCTTAAGAACGACACACAAT